ATGCTTTGACGTAAGTTAAGGTATTGGTTAATTGTCAAAGGCCATTGTAAGTTAAGCAGTGTGAATTGATCCAAGAAGGTTTAAGTTGCTCTGGAAGGATTATATCTTTTACTGTCTCTGACTAAACCAGAAATAATGAAACTTTTCATGAGCTTCGGTGACTCTCAAGTCCAATATTTGCTCAACTTTATGTGTGCTTTTTTATTATTAATCGTATATGCGAATGTGTAGGGACACAAAAGAGTGGAGTCAAGCTTTTGGATAATCCGTCGTAGAAATCTATAAAAAAGTTAACATTGCCTCGGATGAGAGATTCTACATTTTTGATGAATGCAAATGCACGAGGGAGTGCTTGTGACCAGAACACCGTGTAAGACTAGAGGCTGACATCATCGGCAAATTAAAAAGTGCCTGGTGAATATCAGCGGCACTACAAAGAAGCTCAAATTGTATGCCAAATTCGTGGGATGGTTGGACAATGATTCCAGAATGGCATGTCAACTTTAAGTTTGTGTTGGACAAATAAGGTATGTTCTACTGCTTTTGTGTTGCAAGTTTTGTTAAAATATCTCAAAAATCGGAGAACTACACAGAAGAACATATGGGCATGGCTAAATCAACGCATTATCAATCATTATATGGGTAATAGGTATAATTAGGAAAAATAAATTTTTCCAGCTCATTGTGAAGAGTCTCCACTTAAGGGGATTGCAAGATCCTTGAAAAAGCCAATTTTTTCTAGCATAATCAATTCCCAGTTAACTTTTGTCCGGCTTTTAATTAATTTTAATTGACGGTGAAGATATGTGTAGATATGTGGGTATTGTTAAAATTTCTTTAAATATCTTTTTCAAAAGCTTACCACATTCCCATCGCTTTTTGAACTAGACCTCATTTGACCTTCGCCGCCTTGAATGACCTCAACGATGTCTCAAGTACTCAGCGCAAAGCTTGCGGTTTACGAAATAATTAAGTTTATGGTTGAAGAAACATTGAAAAATATTGAAAACTTACTTCCAGCATCCTGAGTCTGCAACCGTGACTTCAAGAAATCATCTTTTCTGAAAATCATCTCATTCGATGAAGTTCATTTTTACCTCGACGGCTTTATTAATAAAAAAAAAATTGCGCTTTTACTCAGAAACCGAAGAATAACCAATTCAGCTTTACTGAATGCCTGTTTGGCGCAGCATCTTTGAACTGCCTTGCTTAGAGATTCTTTGTTTCCAAATGTAGAAGAGTAGGACCTGGACGATGTGTGGTTTCAAAAGGTCGGCGACACTTGCCACACAGCTAACGTTACAACCGATTTTTTGCATACTGTCTCGAAATTCGCATAATTAGCCCGGAAAGCGACTTTCGAGTTGCCTCGGAGTTGATTTTTGGCTTCTTTGTTTTTAAATTTTCTCCAAACATCGCTTTCATTAAAGATAATAACATTTTGATAAGTTTGAATTCGAGTTTCAATGTTAGTTCCTACAAATTTAAGAGACCTACTTTCAAGAGAATAAAAAATAAATAAAAAAACATTTCAAAAAATCCATATTTAAATTGGACCAACTCAAATCTTATAGCAAACACACAATACAACTCTCTAATTTAACTAAATAAATCTCTCTTAACAAGTTCTCCCTGTCGTATGTCGCAACAATCGCTGCAACATCACACCCAAAGGTTGTAGTAGTAGGAGAATGAATATTTGCTTAGCGTCAGCCCAAAAGCACTCAATAGATTGCGTAAATAGATTCACGTAATGTCTATGTATGGAGATCATGTCAGAGGAAAAACAGATAGGAAAAACCACAACAAGCAACTTACAACGTTAAGCAGCCATAAGTTTAAGACGCTTATTATATGTGTTGCAACATAGCACAAGTGGTTCCATTGCATACTTGTAGGGGCCTCTGCTTGTATTGTACTTCATGTGAACTTTGTGGGCTTCGAACATGGCCACAAAGTAAATTTCGCCATTGTGTTCTGCCCCTTTTCACAAGAACATGTCGCAGTTACTTATTTGCATATACTTGGATGCGCAAACGTACACACTTACATACATACATACATACATACATACATACATACATACATTAACAAAATTTGCCATTGTGTGACAAGTTTGTTGTTGTACTGACATATTTGCTGGTTGAAACATATTTGTTAAGACATAATACTGTGTTGTTGAAATATTCGAGTAATGTAAATAAATGAATTGGGTTTCGCATAATGCATGTAGGTATGTATGTATGTGTGTATAATGCAAGCGCCCAACAGCAGCTGTTAAGTAGTTCTCCTACGCCTGTAAGTAGGCAACACTTTGAAATGTTGGAGTATTTATCTATTTATGTCTAGCATATTTATTTGTATGAGAGTGAGGATATTCTCAACAAATTTGTCAATCATCTTGTACGTGCCACAATATAAATATTTGGAAGCGTAGATTTTACATATAGACGACGGCTGGTCCAACAAAGCTCTATGAGAGTCTGTCAGAAATTTGTGCTCTAATCGCAGCATTTATTTATTATGAAAAACAGGGCCATGTGTTGAAGTCCAGTCACGTAGATGTGTCCAAAAACGATCTTTAACACACAGACCACGAATTCCAGTTTTAGGTCCAAGCATCCTCTGATTAGCCAACAAACCTTCAAAGGTGAAACCTCCGTGGTGGCTCTTGTGGTTGGCGACTCACTTTATTGTAACAAAGGCTGGAACGTCGTCCAAGTAGTGCGTTGGACGAAACAAAATCGGTCAATAGTGGATTATTAGATTTGATTTTGGATTTGTGGTAAGAGATCGTTAGCAAGTCTTAGCATTAACATCAAGGAATGAATGACTGAACGTCAGACAAAAATCCGTATCGGGAAAGTATCGAAACACTTATTCACCTTTCTGAGTGGCAGTGAAAGTACCACATCCGGAGAGTAACCTGAATTCCTTATCGAAGATGATGAAGTATACGTTCCGCTACACGACTCTCACGTAGTTCGAATAGAATTTGAACAACAATATGAACCTGAGACCGCTCTTGCTCAAGTTGCAAAATTTACCATGGATTAGCTTGCTCACTCTCGCTTATAAGACGATGTGCATAGATATCAATAACCGGATCGTTAGTTCTGCTTTTTGATATTGAATGAGTATAAGACGAAATAACTCCTTTATGCATAAAAATAAGAGTCAATCCACTAGTTTGTGGGCTTCCACATCACTAGTGAGAATCGTCTTAACCGACAGGTGCCACTTTGAGCTGAGGAAATTAAAAACTAAACTACCCTTTCATTGAACAAAGCACGAACTATGCAAGTCTTCAGCATTACCGGCCTATTTTATAATGCAGCCAACAAAAGTTGATGAGTTAGCGTCAGGAATTTTCGAGAGAAGAATATGAAGAGAACGAAATATATGTCTGCCTTGTAACAATTCAGCGAAGCAGTGGTAACACTGGCCATATTATGTAGTCTGAATGGATGAAAGCAGATGATGGCGGAAGCAGACCTTTGGAAGGACCAACTGAGGGGGGACCTAGCGCCAAAAGGCGAAATAAAGCTATGATAGGCGGGCTGTTATTGACCCGTATCAATGCCAAATCAGAAGATTATTCTCTTTCTTAGGAGGTTTAATTGCATAATAATACATGAACTCAGTTCTGCGTTTATATACAACTAAGGTTGCGTATACGCACTGTCGTACTAGCATAATGAAATGAAAATAATCATCTTGAGACTTTTTAACTCCATTTCAAAAGAACAAAACAATATAATTGGAAAACCTTTATTTTACCATTGAAAACAGTTAAACAAAAGTTTTGACACGAAAAATTTTCCAACACAATTGAAATCTTCACTAGTTGTCGCTGATAATAAAATAAGTTCCCCTTAAAGTCAAGCACAATTGAATCGGTTTGTATAGAACACATGAATTAAAGATTATGTCTTACAAAGTGCAAAATAACTCAGTCCTAAGGTTTTTTTAATTTGTCCGTATCTAATTTTTAGATGTTCCTTGCGACACACAGGCGCAGAACATTTCAAGTATTTTGAACAAAAACTTCGACCCTTCTCTTAGCACTTATTTTCATAAATTTAATTACAAACTCAAAATATAAATTAATTTATGCAAAGTGTATAAACTTTTGATTTTCAAAAGTTATTTTAACAAAAGAAATGATTTTTTTCCTTTACTACCAAATCTTCTTAGTAATATTTGAGCAGCTGAGTAAGGAAGAAGCTATTGCGCTTTGCTCGATACCTGGGTAGATAAAGAGGTGAAAACATCCCATTGGGACTCTTGTAACACCATTTAGGCAGTTTTTAGAAAGGCACTCCAATATACATTTTCACGCTTCACAAGTCAAAATCAAAGTTGATGGCGCATTAAATTCGAAAAATATTCGAGCATTGTGAGCATTAGGCTCGCTGAAGAATAAGGAATTTTATCTATATTCTTCTTTTATATAAAATTCGAAAAAATTTATTTTGAAAAAAATAAATGTAGACAAATTAGTTAACATTTTTCAAAAAAATTGGAATATCTATGAGGAAAGGATACTAAAAAAAAAAAACATAAATTAAAACAAATAGATCCCTTTCCGATGTCCCTTAAACGGCAAAAGGCTTCACCAGAAATTATTAAAGAAAATCGTAGAAAATATTGAATAATTATAAGAAGAATATATTGAAAATCTGTGGGAAGAATTTCAAATATTAATAGAGATACTCATCACACTGCTTTTCAGGCTGTGATGGATTATTCGTTTAAGGAAAATCTCACGTTGACCTAAAACCATATATGCTGGCAACCACGTTTTTCAACAGCATGGAAATAATAAAAATTATATAATTATAAATAATAAATTTTAATAAAAAAAAAAAAATCAATAAAAATTAAAACAGCACTCAAATAAAATATTTATATTCCACTAAAAAAATTAAAGTTCAACATTGCATTAAATTTTCAAAATAAAAAAATACGAACTATGAATCATGAAAAATCTAACATACCTCACAATTTGCGCAGGCCATATCGTAGCAATCAAACGAAAAAGTAAATTAAAGTGTCACTCCGCCTTCTAGCCTTCACGGTCAATGGATACAACCAAGTTGAGTCTGTGTGTTGTGTATATATACTCGTATATATATATATATATATATATATGTATGTGTAAACTATGCTCACGTAATTTTTGAGCTAGACGATATATTATGAAATACCGTACGTAGAGACACACTTACACTAACCACTCCGCATGCATAAAATATTCCAGTCTGGCTCCCAAATGCCTCTCAAATGTTTCTGCTGCTGCTGCTCTTTGCTCCCTCCACGCTGTAAATGTAACTGTCTCGTCTCTTCTGTTTGGGGTAACCTATAGCTGCTACTTGAATTTCACACACTAATAACTACGATTTTATGGCAGTAATGTGCAGAGCAGCCAATCGCTGGCAGCAGCAAGTTTAGATGTGACGTGCTCGGATTTTTCTATAATTTGTATGCTTTATGTCTTCGAGCGGATCAATTCTTTTTTTTTTTTATAAAAATATATCACTGCAGGGAGAAATGCATTTTGTTGTTGAAAGTTACTGACAATTTTCCAGTTAATTTCGCTAGCTTGCACTCAGCGTTCTTGATCTTCAATGCAGCACTGGTTCAGATATCTGAAAAGAAAGACGAAATTTAATATAGAATTATTTGTATGAATTTTAAATAATACTTCTAGTGCTTCTAGTGCTACCAAGGATTTGTAAAAAACTAATTTATTTTCACTTAACTATATTTTATTTAAATTTATAGAACAAAATAATTTCATTCAATTAAATAAAAATTTAATATATTTAATACAATATAATTCAATATATTTTGATTCTATTTTTGTTTTGTTTTAGTTAATTTAATTGAATTTGCGTTAGTTTTATTTTGCAATTCAATTTTATTTAATTTATTTTATGTTCTTTAATTTATTTAATTTTATTTTATTACATTATTTTATTAGATACTTTAGTTTATTTAATTTAAGTTAATTTACTTTTTACATTTCATTTAATTTGATTTGACTTATTTTTTTGGTTTATTTTATACTAATTTAATTTATATTAATTTAATATAATTATATTTCATTTTATTTGAGTACTTAAGTTAATTTAAATTTTTTAATTGTATTAAATTAATTATTTTATGTTATTTTATTTTGGATTACTTAAATTTTGTATATTATTTTATAATGATATATAATTTTTAGTTTTAGGTAATATAATTTATCTATTTCCTAATTTCCTTTTTTTAATTTATTTTTCTTATTTCATTGATTATTTAATTATTTTTATTTACTATTTAATTTTTTTTTATTTTACATTGCTTAATTTAATTTATGTTAATTTTTTCATTTTTCTTTGCTGCGTTTAATAAAAATTAATTGCATTTATTTTTTTACTTGTCTTATTTTAATTTCATTTATTCTATTTGAATTTAAACTTATTTTTGGGTTTTGGTTTTATGGAACTGTCTCAGACCATATATTTTTGATAATATGTGAAAATAACTACGAAAACAGTTTTAGACAGTAATTTATTTATTTGGTTATTTTATCTGTTTTGTTTCATTGTAATTTAATTTAATTATTTTTCATTTCATTTAATTGAATAAAAATAATTATTTTATGTTATTTTATTTTTTCCTATTTAAATTTTATACATTATTTTATTATATAATTATTAATTTTAGATAATATAATTCATCAATTATATTATTTCCTTTTTTTAATTTATTTTTCTTGTTTCATTGTTTATTTATTTTTTTTAATTTTAATTTTTTTTTTTATTTAGTTATTTTATCTGGTTTCTTTTTATTGTTAATATAATTTATCTATTGTTTAATTTCATTATTATTTTAATTTATTTTTCTCATTTTATTGTTTATTTATTATTTTTAAATTTTATTTAATTTTTTTTTTTTAGTTTAATTTTATTTACTTTAGGTAAAATTAATTATTATCATATTTTGCTTTAATTTAACTTTTATTATTTTATTTTGTTTTGATTTTTGTATTTTCTTATTTTCATTTTAATTGTATTTTTTATTATTTAATTTATATTTAAGTTTTATTTTTATATTTATTTTAATTTTATTTAAATTTAATTTTATTTTATTGGAACTATTTTGTTTGGAAACACCAGCACTTTTTATGTGCAAAGAAACTAACGTAAAATTAACTATTTGCAGATGTATGTATGTCCATATAATAGGCAACAGTATTCGAGAATATTAAACGAACCTTGCCAAGGCCACAGACTGCGTATTGTTGGCTGCTGGTTTCCGATTGCTCTGTCTCAAACAAAAAGTCAGCAAGCGACCGCATGCAATCAGTAATATTGTAATTAATATCAAGCATCGAGCGTTAACAGCGAGTTGCAACATTTATAATGTGGCACTTGTAGAAGTTCGCCAGTAGATGTTGTTCACACACACTCGCACATTAAATTCATCGAAATTCATTGAATGACATTATTCCATTGACAAAGTGAAAAATTGTAAACAAAACGAAAAGTTATATATGATCCTTCGAAGCCGCTCAACTGTTAATGAACAAAGTTTCAAGTGTAGCAAAGCGTTTTAATGTGATGAGTATTCGTAATGAATAAATGCGAGAAAATATGCAGGCATTATGTAGTATAAAAAACTGTAATGATGTAATGAAAAATTAAAAAATAATTGTTTAAAGGGTCATTTCAAGGTTTCATCTTTAATAAAATAAAATAAAATAAAATAAAATAAAATAAAATAAAATAAAATAAAATAAAATAAAATAAAAAAAAAATAAAATTAAAAAAATAAAATAAAATAAATAAAAATATGGTAAAAAAAAGAAAAAAATTAAAAATTTAGTCACAGCAAGCAAATTATTTTAAACAGAATAAAATGAAAAAAGAAAAAAAGATTGTTAATAAAAATAAAATAATATAGAATAGACAGAATTAAATGAAAGAATAAAGTAACTGAAAAAAATTGAAATAAAACAATAAATAAGATAAAATACGATAAAGAAAAATAAAATAAATATAAAATAAATAAAATTTATTAAAAAAAAATGTTTGTATATATTGTTAAAGTAAAAAATTAAATAAGTTTGAAAATATATCAAGCAATAATATAACGGATAATTTTTTTCCAGTAAATGTCCTTGAACTTATATTGAAATTGTTACAATTCTTGGTATTTACTTGAATCAGGCATCTGAGAATTTATTTTGCAGTTGACGCATCACATAAATTAATGAAATGGTATTGCAGAAGCGATATTTATTAAATTCTTCCATTATGTGTTGAACCATTTTTTATATATATATAATCCATTTAAATATGCATTTAGATCTGACACCAGATTTGTTTAAAACAATTTAATATAAGTAATTTTCGTAATTTATTCCTTATTGACACATGAACGTGAAATTAATCATTTCAATTGCACTTTTCAAATTTGTATTTGTGAAATTAAAATTAATTAGCTGCAGCTATTTACGCAATTAACTATTCACTATCATCCGCTGGCATTACATTACACATTATTTAATTTATTACCACAGTCGTTCGTCATCATTTCCGTTGATAAACGCAATTATTTATATATCCGCAATGTATATAACGGTTTTGTTATTTCCCAAAACACTAACCCACGCTCGACTGGCTACCTGAGTGACAGTGTGCACCTGCCAATATATTTGTGTTTGTGTGTATGTACATATGTATGTAGAGGAGTAGATATATTGTCTGTCTCTGTTATCCTTAATCTCCTGTGCGCATATTAAATGCATTTAATAACGTTAAGTGCCTTCGACGCAGACCATAGCATGGATAATACGAAGGATACAACGTATTTTGCATTACTGCATTGGTCAGTGACACGGTAACACCGTTAAGCAACAAACGCGTTTACTGTTGCGAGGAGTATAAAGTTTAGAGCCGTATTTCAACAACGGGAATCACAACTACAACAACAGGGCAAGTAATAAAAGTATAAGCAATAATAGAGAGGAAAATGGCACATCGGACAGTGCAACCGATATTGGTGCATTTTGGCACATTATTTATGTTCTGCAAAGTGCTCGGCCTCTATCCGCATGACCTGCAGGCATTTCAGCGCATGCACACACTGCAAGGCAGTAAAACAGGTACCGCCTTTGTGTGTGCGACAATTCTCGCAGTAGTCGTTGCCTATAATTTCCTCATCTACTCTTTCGCCGACGAAGATCGCGAATTAAAAGAAGCACAAAGTGAGTAAACTTTAAGTGGCAGAGAGCAAATGTTTAAAAACTAACTGCACTCCCTCTTATTTTAGGCACACTCACTTTTGTCATTGGCATATTTCTCACCTACATCGGTCTTGGTATGATGCTCACCGATCAATGGTCGGCTCTGCGCAATCAATCGAAAATCGGTGAGCTCTACGAACGTATACGCGCGGTTGACGAACAATTGCTGCGAGAGAACATTGTTGTGGATATCTCGAAGACCTCTCAGCGCATACTCATTATGCTTGCGCTCACTGTCATTTGTGAGGTGACAATTTTGGTATCCACCTATATTATACTGGTGGATTATACCAAATGGATATCGCTATTGTGGATTTTCTCTTGTTTTCCTACATTTTATAATTCATTGGATAAGATATGGTTTGCTAACACTTTGAATGCGCTGCGACAGCGTTTCTTTATGATCAATACTGCGCTGGATGGTATGGTTGAGTCGCATGAGAAGCTTAAGCGTTGGGCGAATACCGGTGGCGATAGTTTGCTTTCAACCCGAAAGCCTTCGATTGCGAATGTCTCTATTGATGCTTCAATAGAGTATTTATATAAGGATTTTACACACATGGAGGCGGTGAAGAAGTTTAATATGCCAAGGAATAAGATAACGCCAAGTGAGTATTGCTTGCAGAGGAAGAAAGCATTAATTTTCTGCAATTTTATTAAAAAAAAAAAATATTTCAAATTGTGATTATGGAACTATTGTATAGTGAGGTTAGTTTTAAGCTAATCTGGAATTTGTTTGATGTAAATTAGGAGCTGTCTTCGAAATAGCTCATTACCGTTCTGATACTGTATCTAGGCTTGTTTTGAGGCTATCTTGAAGTGTGTGTTTCGGTATCGTCTCGATACTACGATAATTCAGAGTGAGATAATTGTAGTTCAGGTCTAACTCGAGGGCAGATTAAGTTAATTTGAGTTATATTTTGACACTGAGCTCCAGCTCTAGTACACTTCAAGAACAATTATGGTGTTGTACGAGTTTAGTTTTATACAAATCAGAATCAGAATGGTAGGGTAAGTTCAAGAAACTTTCCAGAGAAATTTATATTGCAGTTTGGGAGCACCATAAAAAGTCAGATAATTGTAAAGGAAACGTTTGGAAATCAGCTCAGAACTAACTTGAAATAAATTGGCGAAACGTTTCGATATAATGTCGGCACTAGGTTCGAGAGTATTTCGAAATCAATTATTTAGTAGATTAAAACAAGTTGAAAGTAGTTCGATACGAAGTCGAAAATATTATTTCAGGAAAACTGCGTATAAGCAACCGCGATTTCAAAGCAATTTATTAAATTTGAATTGAAAAATAGTTAAGAACCATTGGTGCTTGAGGACTTTGTAATAAATTACAGTGTAGTTCAATGTTGTTGTATGTGCAGCTCGATGCCTCTTTTCAATTACTCAAGGGCCAGCTCAAAATTAGTTTTGCAACGAATTGCTCTAGACTTCTGCAAGACCTGTTGGGCTATTGAAATTTTAAACTATAAGAGATTTATGTTTGGAATGAAAGAATTTTTTTTTTTTGGAAACTTGGAATCTAATCGCCCACCGAAATACCAATGCTACATTCGCAAGAGTTTTAAAATTATTTAATACCATATAGCGATTCTTTGCTAGATTTGATAATATACTTTTGAGTACCTAGATAAAAGCCCAAGTAACTAAAATTCCACAAAGTCATCCTACTTTAATTGCACATTTTTATTTGCACATTATTTTATTGCGCAAAAAATAATTGCACACAGACTATATATAAAAAGCCTGAATTTTGTCTAAGCAAATTGTTTTTCGATCAGTTCACTATATATTGATCATTTAAATGCGCCTTGTTTAATAGCACTTTAGATAATTGTACTTTGCTTAAATTTAATGAGTTTTTGATTAAGACAAATTGGCTTTCGATAGATGCATTAAATTTCGATTGGTGATTGAAGATTATATAATTGCATTATGTTTACACGCACATAAGACAATTGCAGATGGAATATTTTTGTAAAAGCCAATATAGCGATGGGAAAATTGTCTTTAAGCGTACGCCAATGAATTAGGTTAATTGCACTTCCGATAATTGCACTTATGATAATTGCACTTAAGATAATTGCATTATAGATAGTTGCACTAAGGATAATTGTATTATAGATAATTGTAAAATGGATAATTGCACTGTTGATAATTGCACTATGGATAATTGCGCTTAGTTTAAAAGTCTCCAAATAGGATTTTCAATGTTTTTATAATATTTTTACATCTTTGTTTTTTTCTTTCATTTAACCATTAACTTTGCAGTTGCACACTCCCTCAACTTTTACGGCGAAAGCTTTGAGACACCAAAAAAACCATACAAATTAAGCATCCAACCACCATCATTCAATATGGTATACGAGAGTGAATTGAATCGAGATATCGAAAAAGTAGAGGAAAATTTAAATAATTTATGTCAATTACACGATGAAATTTGTGAAATTGGTAAACAGCTCAACGAACTGTGGAGCTATCCGATATTGGTGCTAATGGCCTATGGCTTTCTCATCTTCACAGCGCAATTGTATTTTTTATATTGTGCAACGCAGAAACAGGTAGATGAAAAAAATAAAAATAAATTAATAAGTAAATAAGAAAAATTGCCAACAAATCAAATGTCTGCCAAATAAGTTGATTTTGATTGTTTTTATGCACTTTTCATTCTAATTATTTCTGTGTTGCTTCCTCTGCTACACTTCTAGAACATTCCATCACTATTTCGTTCGGCAAAAGATCCCTACATTACGACCATTTACTTATGCTACACCGCCGGCAAGTGCATCTATTTAATTTACCTCAGCTGGAAGACGTCACTCGAATCGAAACGCACCGGCATTTGTCTGCACAAGTGCGGTGTGGTCGCGGATAATAATTTGCTCTATGAAATTGTAAGTGCCACTTGAATTGCCCATTTTATCTTTCACTTTTTCCACCTTTCACTTGCCCCAACCCACTCTTGGCCGCGCGCTGTATGCAACGAATAATATAGGTCAACCACTTATCGCTCAAATTACTAAATCACTCAGTGGATTTCTCGGCTTGCGGTTTCTTTACATTGGACATGGAGACGCTTTATGGTGTAAGTAGTAGTAGTAGTTGTTGTTGTTCTTGTTTTTGTTGTGGTTGTTGTTGTGGTTTGATGCTCAATAAAATTGCATGTGCATAATTATTAAATTTGATTTACTGCCGCGGTTATTGTGGCACCAACAACAACCACAACCAGCACCACCACTACTTATGCTCGCATCATTATTACTGTTACTATGATTATTATAATGATTATTATAATTATTATTATTATTATTGTTATTGTTTTTGTTATTGTTATTGTTTTTGTTATTGTTATTGTAGGTGAGTGGCGGTATTACCAGTTACCTCATTATCCTTATACAATTCAATTTGGCGGCACAACAGGCCAAGGATGCCATACACAATGCGGATGAAAGTGTTAGTGCCATGCCGACTACAGATGGCGGCAATACGACAGCGTTAATGGAATTATTTACGACCACCTTTTTGTCCAGCACACACACGACACCTTACTAGTTAAGTGCGTGCGTGTGTGAGTGCATCTGCAGCGCAGGCTGGCTGGCTGACTGGCTGGCTTACTGGCAAGGAAGCAGGATGTGCGTGTGTTTGCCTTTGTCGGTGTACCATCAAAGACTTGTGTCGTCATCTCAGTGCCGTTGGGATTAATTTGAGATTTAAATTGATATAAATATTACACATTTAATTTGCAATTAATCAAACACTTTGAAATTTAATACTACAATATATGAGGCTGCACTTTGCTGTAAAGATTGGCATATTGTTGGTATAGAGGCATATGAAGCTACATATTTACAGTCAAGTTCTTACATTGTATGTTAAATAAATAACCTTCTACATCTACTGTGCAACAAATTTATTTACACAAATAAATAAATATATGTTTGCGCAAGTGCACAGCTTTATTAATGTAGATCCCATTAACTTTTGTGCACTACGCAGAGAATTGCATTTATATCATAGGAAAATCTTCGGAAAATAGAAAAAAAAAATTCTTGAAAAATATGCGTAAATATTTTTTATTACACTCTCATTTTCTTTTATTTATTTTTTATTATTTTATTTTTAATCAAATTTTCCTTTTAAATACGTAGAATTTCAAGCTTTTGAGCTCAGTATGCACGATTTAATATTGAAAATTAATTTAAATGAAAAATTAAGTTAAATTTTCTAACCGCATCTCAGTAGGTAATGGCAGCCCCTCCGAGTGTATTTCTGACATGAAAAAAAAATTTTTCATAAAAATCTGTCAGTCTTGCTGAGGCGATCGAAAATTGCTTTTACGGCTACAAATCACCAATAATATAAAGAGTGATTTTTTAAGGATTATAGAAAAGTTTTTCAAAAAAAAAAAAAAAAAACACATAAAATTCAGAAAAAATGCAGGAAATCTTCTTTTGAATCGATAGTACGGTCCATATAATTTAATGTTTGAAGATTATTTTATGCAAATGTTGACTGTGACTGCGCCTCAAATGGCCCATCTGCTTAGTACAATAACGCATAAATGCTTCGATGTTGTCCTCTTATTCGTCAGGTGAAGCGGGCTTGTCTATTTAGACATAAGATTTAACATAGCCCCACAAAAAATAGTCTAAATGCCTCAAATCGCATGATCTGGGCGGCCAATTGATCGATCCCGAACGTGAAATTAATGTTCACCAAACCCGCCTTTCAATGAGTCCATTTATACGCGTGCTGTGTGGCATGTGGCACCGTCTTGTTGAAACCACATGTCATGCGAGTCAAGCTCTTGCATTTGGGCAAACAAAAAAGTTTGATATCATCTCAAGGTAGCGCTCACTAAACACAGTTACGTTACAATTCGCATCGTCTTTGAAGAAGTACGATCCAATGATGCCACCAGTCCATAAACTGCACCAAACTGTGACCTTTTCTGGAAGCATTGGTAGCTCTTACAATGCTTCTGGCTGATCTTCATTCCAATATCGACAATCGAGCTTCATCGCTGAACACCCTTTTTTTTTTTTTTTTTTTTTTTTTTTTTGTCTGGACACACTCCGGATGTTATGAATTCAGGGTCTATTAAAAGACTATAAGGATGGCAAAAAAATCAGCCTGGAGAGATTCTTGCAGTGATATTGAGGGATCAACGGAAACCACAAGACTAAAGGCAATCAAGTCTAAATCTCTAAATCCTGTGGATTTTCTTCAGAAAAATGACTACTTCTGTTAAGGAAGCAATAAAGCTACTTCTAGATACTCACTTTCTTCGAAACTCGCGTACCCCTGTGAGCTCAGCTCATTTGTCAAGAGCTATTGATCTAACAATCACAGATGAATTGGTAATCAGTGTAATGAAAACCTTCGACCCATATAAAGCATCAGGACCGGACGGCATCATCCCTGCACAGCTGCAGAACTGCTTGGACAAAATGGCTGAAAGCTATATATGTATCCTGCTGCAACTTAACCACATATCACAGACATTGGGACGAGTTTCAGTTGTCTTCACCCCCAAAGCAGGTAAGGGCACTCATAGTTATCCTAAGGACTACAGGCCCATAAGTCTTTCTTCCTTTGGGCTAAAAGTATTAAAACGGATCATAGTTAACTATCTACCCCAAACCATTGATGGGAGGCTACTGTCAAATAATGAGCACGCCTATCAAAAGGGAAAATCAACAGAAACTGCACTACATGGACTAATTACCTTCATTGATAAGCCCCTCTACAACAAGGAAATTTGTCTCGTTGCCTTCCTAGATATAGAAGAGGGTTTCAATAACATCGCAGTTACAGCTACATTGCTAATTTTAGATGTCGACACTTAATTAGTGGACTTCATCAACCAGCGCGAGCCTGGAAGCATATCATGTATCCAGTTATGTCAACAGAGGTACCCCACAGGGTGGAGTTCTCTCTCCATAGCTCTGGAATCTCTGGACAGACTGTCTCTCATATGGGTCCATGGTCACAGGGATATCGAGAGAAGCTGTAATGCGGATGAACTTGCTAGGCAGGGGACATGCTTTTTAAGGAACTCATATATTAACAAGCCACCAAAAGGTGGAATAACATTACAACCTACCGCAAAACCAGGCATACTTGGCCGAAATGAGATAAAAAGGGATCACGAGATATTTACTCCTTAAAAAGAGGCGGCATGTCCAAAGTTATAGGAGTTCTGGCAGGCCACTATCTGATAGCGCACCTCGCAGGAAGACTAGGGGATCTCTACAGAAGATGCTGCAGAAACTGCAAGGAGGATTAATAGGAGGAAACTAGCGCCCATTTCTTATGCGACTGTCCTGCACTAAGCAGGGCGAATTTTCGTAATTTTGGGGCCCTACTGCTGGATGGTCGATCGAAGATAGATGAATGGATGGTGAATGAAGCCTGATGGTTTAAGTTTTTGTAGTATCACAATGGGTCTAAGTCAGGCCCAAGTGAATCCCGTCTGTTAGATCGGTGGCCACCGCTACCTAACCTAACCTATATTATATATGGATTACGCAGGTCAAAGATGGTCTGTGGAAATCGATTGCCCCAATATTTTGTCAAGAGGCGAGAATTTCTTTGAGAAAGGCTTCAAGACGTTACCTTCAAAATGGCGAAAAGCTGTCGAGCAAAAGCTTGAATATTTGTTATAAATTAAAGGGCAATAATTACGGGCTTTAAAACCTTTAATTTAGTGCAACAAATAATGGACTAATTTTTACTATGCCTAAATTAGTGTGCTGTTATGTATGTGTATTTTCTCAGGATAAAGCTTTTAAATTTCTAATTAAATATATTGATGAATATTTTCCAAATTTAAATTCACTTATGTATGTACATATAGGTATGTATACATTTTAAATTTCTAACTTTTCGTATATTTTTTTTTTTGATTTTAATTAATTAATCAATTACCATAATTTGCCCAACAACAATGGGCAAATCAATTTTGGTAATTACAATGAAGCAATCAAAATGAAATTCAAACAAATGTTTTTTTTTTTTTTGTTTGAGCGACAACAAAAACATGATAGCAAATAATTAACGGAAAATTTGCAAATTTCACACCAACACACTCTTAACCGCACATATGTATTTATTATATAATATCCATATGAATAACTGCATTGCTGCATAGTATTTAACCATATCTTCGGTCAGCCACATAAAGCAACAAAGCCAACTTTGTTGTGGCAAAAAAAAAAAAAGCGAAAGGCCACATGCCATGACATAGCATGACGGGGCGCATAGCATGACATATCCGTGCTAACCAACACCGTTGACATTACCGCATAACAACATTTTAAATAATCTCATTATTTTGCCTACATTTGCACTTTTACTACTTTTACTCGTTTCAATGTCCGTCCAGCCGTTCATTCGTTCGTTCGTTCGTTCGTTCGTTCGTTCGTCCGCGCATGCATCCATTTATCAGTCGCATGATTGTTTGTATGTAAGTTGTAGCGAGTATTCATTAAAATGACCTCAAACACTTGCAGCATAATTACATTTGCACTACATGGCTGGGCGCCCTCGCTGCGCTCTCCATCGCCACTTCCGCCGTATGCGCCCTTGCGCTGTTGCGAGGTCCTTTAGCAAATTCCCCGCACTTCAACACCACTCAAGAGCAAGTGCATAGACATATAGACATACAAACTAACACATATATATGTAATATATGTAGGTATAAGTATGGTGTATAGGTGTGTTGGTGTGTTTGCGCGCCTTCATATAGTATAACCGAGTGATATTTGGCTGACAACTCGTTGGCTTGCATTTCGGTAACATGAAACTGTAAATTGAACAAAGTGAGTAATTATTCAGGCATTTGTGGTCGCCACAACGCTTGATGTCGCCCCCTCTTCGCACTCAACGACACTCAACTCCCGCCCACAAGCCGTCGTCCTCCTGCCCAATTGCCTCATTCAGTCACTCGCTGGAGCATTTCCCTTCCGCTTGTTGCCATTGCATGCATCTATTAATGCAATTTACAGTTTTTGTCAACTCGAAATATTTCACTGGCCAAGCAAGTTTCTCTATCAAAAAATACCAAAAAAAAAAAACAAATGCAAAAAAAAGAGCAATAACAACAATCGCAAATGAGTTCCATGAGTTGCATGAACAACTTAACTGCTCACGTGGCATGTGCTGAGCAGCGAAGGGCTGATGACTGCATGCAGCAACTGGCAGCAGCGCGCTCGTCACCAATTCAACGCTGTCATCGTCATCACAGCTTCATGCATAAATGTTTCGAATTAAAAGTTATTCGACAAAATGGGTTTCCTAGCATCATACTTTACGGCGGTGATGCGCGGCGTGGGGTGTGCAGGAAGTCGCGAGAAAGTCGCTTACACAAGCGGGTCATTTGGTATCCCTCGCACATACATAGCTCTGTTTTGTGTCCTTTTGCTGGCACTTGCTTTGTCGGCAAGTTGTTCGAAAAAATGAAAAAAACTAAATAAAAATAAAAAATATTAAAAAAATAAAATAAAAATAGTTGCATACTCTCAGGCGCCTTTACAGCTTTTTTTTTACAA